ATAAAAGGAACTCAGATCAAAAAAACCGAAAAAAAACCCTCAAAATCAATCAAAAAACTTGAAAAATCCATCGAAATGGTGGAGGTTAAAAACACCGGACAAGATTACGAGTCTTTGATCCACTTTAAAAATACACATGTTTGCCTAAAATCCCGAGTCCACCCACTACATAACACACAGGAAGATTCGATATTAAAAACAAGACTTTGGACAAAATCGTCATTTCCTTTACCAATAGAAATAGTGTGTATAATATGTGGCCGTTGAATAGGTAAAACAACGATTGTGATTGATCAACTGCAATTCTGGCCCACTTTATAAAGCCGACATCTCTAGTATAGCCTATATTTATTATGAGAATTTTAAAAAAAAAAAATTAATATTTACGAGTGTTTGGGATTGTTTATTTTAGGTGTTTTTTGACTTATTTCAGTTTGATACCGATGATAAGTTATAAATAGTAGTGTTTGGATGAGGAAAAATAAAATTATTTATACCGGTGCCAAACCGTTAATAATCAGTTTTTGATAAGTTAATCATTCTTGACTTGTGAAAAACTGTTTATTACTAATTTACCATTTTAGCTATGTTTTATTAATGTTTGTTAATTATTAATCTTATTGATATAAATTATTAATTTTATGGATATAAATTTTTGTCAAAAATATTATTATAAATGATAAAAAATAAATTTTTACATTTTAAAAAATCAAATAAGTTAATAACCAATCACAAACACTACCATAAGTCAATAATATAGAAAACTGTCTTTTTTGGTCATTTTACGTATATAAGCAAAATTTGTCAAACACTAAAAAACAACTAATCAGCTTATTGCTTTTTGGTACTGCTTTAAGCTAATCCAAACACTTTTTACAAAACTCCGGTTTAACACCACATAAATTAATAAGCACTTTTACAAAAAAAAACATAAGTTGTTTTAAATAAGCAATCCCCAGCACCCCCTTATTTTCTAATATCAAATTATATTCCCGTCTTTTATTATAGATTCTTACACAAAAATTAAAGATTGTAATTTTTTTTTTTAATCTGGATATCTAACCCGTTATGCAAGTCAATTAATTCTAGGACGATCACCCGCTTCACGGGTAATTCGAAGTCATCGCATTTGAATCTCTACGACCAGAAGAAGATTTTTATTCCTCATTGGATTCGAACCTGGGACCTTCAGACACAATATCATATTTTTCTTTCTTGGCAAAATGAGTGTAGTAATTATTGAGTTTATATGAAGGGTTAAAATCCAATAAATATATGTTAGAATTTTGAATTCGATGTGAAGTAATTACACTTGAATATTCAATTATGATCTGTCAGTTTAATCTGGTTTTTTTATAATCCATAGTTGATATGACAATTTTTATTTATTATTATTTTCAGTAGGAGTTTAGATCATTTTATAATTTCTAAAGTTTTTGTCTCGAATTTAATCAAAACAACAAACCAGTATGACCGATAATTCTTTAAATGATATTAAATATAAGTATCTGATAATCAAAACGTATCATTAAATTTTAAAACTGGAACAGTTTAAAGCAATAAATAAAGAGTAAATTACGTTTTCGTTTGATGCGGGTTGTTAGAATTTAAGACTTTTATTCCTATGGCTTTGAAATTGTGGTTTTCGTACCTAAGGTTAGTCAATTGTAAAAACCAACCATTTCCGAAACAGTCCGCAATTGTAAAAACCAAATATTTAAATTAGTTATACGTCCGCAAAAATATGCCCGTAATTGACAGGTCCATAATTTACGGAGGTGTTGAACCATAAAAAAAAAGTTTCTGAACCAGGTCCACAATTGTAAAAGACCTTATATGTAAATTAGTTGTAGGTCCACAATTGTGGATGTGTTTTTCCAAATTTACATATTTGATTCTTGCAATTACATATTTTGTTTAAAAACTTTTTTTTTCCCTTAAACTTTGACATCTTCATAAATTGCGGGTTTTTTCTTCTCATCGAAGTTATTTCACAAAGATTTGCCATGGTAACGAGGATGGTTATTTTATATATTTTTATGTTGAAAATCATATTTTTGAGATTGAAAAGATGAATCGCTCCCGAAAATGAATCTATTGATTCTCTCCCAATTGGATTTTGGGAACTTATATTAAATGTGTCTCGCAGCCAAAAATAATTCTTATTTGTGGAGAGAAAAAAAAGAAGATAAGGGGCGGGTTTTTTATTAGGGTTGGATCTGCCAATTACGAACCTATAGCTATTTTCTTTGTTTTGGGAGAGAAATGTCTAAGAGGTGAAATCATATGGTCAAAATGACTATTTTAATTGATTTTTCAATTATAAATCATAATTCATGAAGTTAAAAAGAAAACGATAAATTGTAAATTATAAGGATGGAAAGTGTCATTTAACAAACACAGAGACTAAAAGAATAAATTTCAACAAACTATAGGGACTAAAACAGTAATTTACCCATAAATAAAGGAGAAACATAAAGATAATGTTTTGTGGGTCCCACAATAAATAATGACTCGTAATAAGCGGTAGCTATTCGTGAGCCCATCTATTGGCTGGGACCCACCATAATCTATTCATTCTACCGACATTTTTTTTCTTTTTCTTTTTTTTTATTTGCTTTTTTTTTCTCCACGTCTCAACCTCATAATTTTTATATTTTTAATATATTGATTTAGGAAAAGTTAATTAAAATAAATATCTTTGATATCTGGTTTCACTTATTAGTCATTTCTCTTTTAAAATCATTAAATTGTTACTCAATATACAAGTGACGAGTTCGTATTTTGTAGAAGGGTGAAAGTGTAAAAAATAAAATATTGAACCAGGTTCGTAAGTGCAGGAAGTGACCAGGGACGGACCCAAATTTTTTTGAATAGGTAGCACCATATAAAACGGTTGCACCTTCTAAAATAAAACAGTTGCACCTTTCACGAACCTAATTTTTTTTTTATCTTACCACGGAGAAACAATATGGTGGCACGTGCCACCTAACCACTCCTCTAGGTCCGTCTATGGCAGGAACCAAATCTATAAAATAGATATAAGTCTACAATCTGCGGAGGTGTTAAGACTAATTTACATATTTGGTCTCTGCACTTGCGGACCTGTTTTTGAAACTTCTTTTTATTTTAACTTTGACCCATCTGTAAATTGCGGACCTAGTGACATTTTGATTATTTTAAAAGAGAAATGGCTAATATATGAAACCAACATCTGAAAATGACTATTTTAATTAATTTATCTTGATTCAATTCCAAATTGTAAGATCCCACGATTGAATGCAGAGTGGAGCTAAGTTTACTTTATAAATGACAAGATACTTTCTCTAATCTTATTCTCTCTCAAACGCGTACCAAAACCATGAGTCTGAATATGGATAAAACGAACAATATCTGATATAGTTAAACTTGGATGTTACACCAATTATGCGACAACATAAAAAAAATACAACCAAGTGAGATGTTGAGTTTTGGGTTTGGATCGACTGAATCAACTAAAGGATCTGTACCATTTTAAAGAAATCTTTAAAATTTAAAACTGTCATTCAATTTGTTTTAAAAACGCGCTTTGACCATGATCATTATTTATACACTTGGGATGACTTCCTTATCTCACACGTATATTTTTTTTTCAAGAATTTAGGGTTCGATTATAATGAATTAGTCATGTCAGTTGAAGAAGACAGAATGTTCCATAGTATGGGAGACATGTGGGACGAAATCTGACATTTGATCCAAATCTACGTCATGTAACTAAATCGTCCAACCTTCATTCTAGACTTCTGATCGTTTGATTCAAGATACGACATTATCTACCCGAGATGCTACATGATTAAATAAGATATCAGATTTATCGTAAATCTCCTTAAAAAATTAAAAAAAAAACAATTATTTGAAAAAACCCTGAAATTTGAACGTTAAATGACAGTTTTTTGGTCAATTGTTCGCCTAAGTAAGGCCATGAGTTACTATTTGTGGGAGTAAAATCTCATGTTCTAAATTTTCACATTCTATCTGTCTACCAAACATATAAATTAAAGACATTGGAATGTTTGATCCGTTAATAGACAAAATCATTCAGACTGTTTGTTTTTTTTAGAGTCACTTATGTCTTTTTTTTCTCTTATCTGATAATAGGTAAACTAACATTTTATTTGACTCTTATTGTTCTTCAAATGCTCCACAACGACGTTTCTCAATCGATCATTTTTCTTAATCGATTCTTACCAAATCAATTCTCACATCTCTCAATTAATGTATTTTAATGGATGTAAATGCGTCAAACACCGTTAATAACATATATTCATTTAATGGAATGTTAGTTATATAATTTAGATGTAGACTTCATAATGATGATAAATAGATATGTGAAACTGTATATATCTATCAATAAATTATACACTATAATTTTTAATAGGTAAAATAGATAATTTAAATAAATTCAGACATTTATCGGTTACAAAAACAAACAATCTTATTGATTCAGATTATAAACTTCAACACCACCTCTTATAAATCAAAAATTAAAATTAAACTCGATGATGAATAAATATATGAAATTGTATATTTTTATCGATAAACTCTACATTATAATTTTTAATAGGCAAAATAGACAATTTAAATAAATTTAGACGTTTATCAGTTTACAAAACAACAAACAGTCTTATTGATTCAGATTTCAGACTTCAACACCACCTTTTATAAATCAAAAATGAAATAAAACTTCAGATTTTATCACCTCTTAAAATTAGACGTCAGCTTAAATTTTATATTGATAATAAAAATAATTTTTTTTGACTTTTGATTTTGCTTTTCATAAATTATTTTGTTAGAATTAAAGATTTTATTTTTTTAATAAAAAATTCAATTAATGAATTTTTGGTCGGTTTTTTAAATATTTAAAAATGGATAATGTAAAATATCGGAACACGTATTAGACACACACATATTCCTCTCATTTCCCCTATATAAACCAACGCCAATAGGTTCAATTTCACAAATCAAATCAAAACCCATCTCATTATACATATTGCCTTTGATTAATTAATTCCTCTGAAACTGATCATCAAAAATGGCCGGAATCATAAACAAGATCGGCGATGCACTCCACATCGGAGGCGGTAACAAGGAGGACGACAAGAAGCACGACGGCGACTACAAGTCTGACCAGAAGAAACACGAAGGTGATCACTCTGCCTACGACCAGAAGAAGCACGAAGGCGATCACTCTGCCTACGACCAGAAGAAGCACGAAGGCGATAATAAGTCCGACCACAAGCCGGAGCACAAGGAAGGCATCATTGATAAGATCAAGGACAAGATCCACGGCGAAGATGGCGGAAGCAAGGAAAGCTGCGGCGAAGGTGAGAAGAAAAAGAAGAAGGAGAAGAAGAAGAAGAAGGAAGGAGACCACCACGATGGAGGCAGCAGCAGCAGCAGCGACAGCGATTAGATCGCCATCATCGTTCATCCTCTTCGATCTCGAATCAGTAAGCAAATGTTTTCAGATCTGCTCTCTCTCTCTCTCTCATATATTTTCACTTTTCGTACTCATAAATTTTACTCGAACGACTGATGAAACTAAGATGCATATTTTCCGATCAGTGTGATGATTCATGTCATGGAAGTCAGATTCAAATTATTCGGTGGAAATTATTCGGAACTTGCTTTATTAGTTTCTTCATATAAGATTTGTGCAATAAACATTCAATCAGTGCGATGATTCACTGATTCATGGTTACTTTGTACAAATCGTTCATTTTAACATGTTTTAATCCCTTTTTTTCTCCAGATTTTAACAAAATACAGTTCTTAATCGGCAATAAAACTCTAAATACGACTTCAAATTTTGATCAATCCGATTAGAATCTGTTTATGACATGAAGATTATCTTCTCTACATTTTGAAGGATCTGTTGATTTTGTTTTATAATTAATCACTGTTTTCCTTTTGGAAATCGTGTTTTTGCAGATGGGAGGTATGTACAAGACGAAGAGCTTTCATACGTTTTAGTGTGCTTTTCGGTTGCTGAAATAAAAATGTAATAAAATAGTAAAGGGAAAATAGAAAACGTGAAAACCGAGAGTTATGGAGTGTTGCTTAATCCGTAACCTTATGGGTGTAATTGCTACTACATGATGGAATGAAGTTTATGATTTGTTTATAAATCATTTCCTTTCTAAATTTGTATCTGTATGGTCCAACGTATGGCATCTTGATTATGAAACCGATAAAAGTTTAAACCATCCCTTTTTCGGAAATCGACCGAAATGGTTATTCCTCTCCCATCGATTGGTCTTCTACCGGTTTTACCCAAATGTCACTACTTCTGTAAATGACACATTCGAAATTTGCGTAGATAGCTAAAAGACAAAAAAATTACATTCGAAATGGGGCAGGGACCTCAATCCCCGTTCCCGATTATTTATCTCTATCCCCGTCCCCATCCTCATCGGAGATTATAATCACATCCCTATCCCCATCTCCAACGGGGAAACGAGGATTTTTTTTTTTCGTTTATATAAGTTATTTTGAATTAAATATGTGAGAGAACATACATGTTTAAATCTCAAACATTTTCAATAAATCTAAAATCAAAATAAATTTAATTTAATACAAAAAAACCACAACATCATATAAGAACTAATAGCCTAAAACAAAAAAAAATCAGTTTAATCCAAAAAAAACTTAAAGTCACATGTATCAAAAGATATTGAGTAATATAACACCATATCGAGTAATATACAAAACTTGTCGAGTAATTGTATTTTGACTTGACATCAAAAATATTACATACTAACATCCAAAAAGTAACAGTTTTATATTATAAACCTAGTTAGGAAATAGGAAATTATGAATTACCGCTTTATTGAAATAAATAATATATATATATATATATATATATATATATATATATATATATATATATATATATATATATATATATATAACGGGTACGGGGTGGGGTGGGGTGGGGTCTCATCCCCGATTTAACGGGGAATCCCCGTCAACAACCGGGACAGGGATCGGGTTCCCCGATGGGTCGAGACCCATTCTCATGCCTATAAATAAACATCTCTTCATTTAGTAAATAAACCAGTTCTATGAATTTTTTTGTCACACGTAAAAATTATTCTGTAGAAACTTTTGGTTAATTTTTATTTAAATAGGTTCAATAACTTTTAAATAATATGATTGTTCAAACTAGCCCAAATGCAAAAGACAAAAATTGGTATTTTCTTAAGGATAAAATACGTGAAATAACAATTTATTTTTACAAATTTTTTTACTATAATATTCTTTTTTCAGTTTTTTATTACATCAAAATATTTTTATTGGAGTATCGTACTTTCAAAATTTATTCATTGTAGCATTGGGTAACCTGTATGAGTTCGTGAAACTATGAGTGATGTTATTAGATAAATCTATAAAAGTGTAAAATCTAAAGTTTATGTAAAAATACAAAAGCTAGTAAAAAGTAAAAAAACTAAAAATATTATTCTTTTGAAAAAAAAAATCATACCTCGTGAAAAAACACACCATGGCTGAGTCACATGTTTATAGAAACGTTACAGGACTTATCATAAACGTGGAGACGTTTTGCATCATATCCCATCATGACGTGTCTTTTTAAACACTGATTTTAAAAGGGTTTTTTTTTTCTCTATTGTTTTCATTATCACAAATTACGTTTTAATAATGTATTAAACACATGATCGTAATTGTGTTTAATAACGTACTAATTGCATTTAATTTAGAAAAAGGTTAAAAATTACAAACTATTGCTTTTTCACATTTAATGCATTATCTAAAGAAATTTTAAAAAAAATGGCAGAAATATTTTTACCCACTTATGAAATCATGGTTAATTTTTTGTACAAAAAGTTGATTATCGACAATCCTAATCAGTTCCATACGGAACTTGTCTTTAAGGACAACAATGTTAGTAGCTTTTTTTTGACTCATTCAGTGATTGAGGCTAGCGGATGAAATGTTTCGTATTTGAGTAAAGTCGTGACACTATTTTGTCAACTGAGCTATACATTAAAGATAACAAATTGATATTATAATACAAAGTAAGGGTTGGGTTCCTGTGAGAATGACTGAAGAAAAGTTAAAATGAGAAGCATAAGAAGACATCTCCACTATTGGATACACATTAGGATGGATGCACCGGATCAATCCATTTATCAAGTGCTATTCATGGCTGAGTTTGAGATTAAAGACGATCAATGGTCTAGATCTCTTATTACGTTTCTAACTTTAACTATGCTACACGATCATTCACACCTAAGTGGTATAACTTATTCGGTTTCAACATTTTTTGCATGTATTTCAAAATTTAAGTCGTTGATTGCACAAAGTACGCGTACGACAAAAATAAGAATATTTTACTAAAAATATTACAGATATAATTGGAAACAAATCTAATTTCAAATCTTAGGTATGGGTCAGGATCTGATTCCCACAAAAGACAAGGAGAAGAAGAATACGAATTAACTACAAACACAACAATAATCACATCGTCTCCGAAAAATCATGAAAAACCCGAATGGAAAAATATATCAAAAAATGGATATCAAATTACAGATAATAAAACGATCGTTTTTTTTTTTTTTTTTTTTGTATAATTTGTTTCGTTCCAATTTTTGTTATATTTCGCCCAATTTCGATTTAAAAATGGTGGGAGATTTTTTAAAAAGTGGTTATAACCATCTTTTTAATTATATCTGTTATATCATTTTAATCTAATGGTTTGAATGAGTTATTCGATTCTTTTTTTTTTTCCCACTGTTCTCTCCTGATGTCACCCATATGATTTATTCCCAACATTACTTTTTGTTAAGTATTAGGCTTTATTTTTTTTTAAGTATATAATATTTATATACAACAAATACAACAAATAAATTCACACACTCTTCTCACATTTGATGAGGTTTGGACCTCTGATCTCCTACGAGGCCAAATGTTATAATACCGCTGGGTCAAAGGCCCTTTGGTTTAAAATTATTTTTTAGCGGTTGGTTTTTAGACAGAAGATCACAAATAAAGAAAACGAAACAGATTTTAAAAAATTATACGATATTTTTACATGTAAATATTAATAAAACGATTTAACAACTTACCAGTCGATTCAATAATCCAAGATTGCAAAGACGATTCTTCGTAATGTCCGAAATGTCCCGGTTTTTTTTTTTTTTTTTTTTGTGAAACGATCTGCAAACACGATAGCCCATAGCATCGTTAGGGACTCTTGTTTTTATCCAGATTGTGAGGACGATGAAACTACTTTGCCTCACTCATTCGTGTATCTGTTCGCTTGAGTTTTCCGTAATAAATGGTTAAAGTTTCTTCGGTGTCAAAAAATAAGTGTATAAATTACCCACCATGCGTCCCCCCACCTCCAAAAAACTGTACATATTTTCTCTTAATTTACTGATTTCATTATAATCAGTCAGTATTTATTTCGTTTCCAACTGGTTGTCTAATACATATCTTATATTTAATTTCTAGATTGGAAACACTCTGTGGACGTTTTCACGTTGCAATTTTTCTTCCCGTAAACATAAACCACGATCATGCATTACAACTACTGATTTTTCTCTTAATATGCGTCGTATTTAAAGATGGAAACAACGTATTTTGTTCTTTGATAATTAAGAGAAGCAAAAATTGATTTATGTCATAATCTAATCAAACCGAACGAGATCTCATTTAAGGCCTTTACAGTTATAAATAGAACTAAGAACATGGTTGAATGGATAAAGTAAAAGTTCAATCACATGTGATGTCATAAAAACCATGTGATATTCATCGTAAAAAGTAATTTTCAATCAATTAAACAAAAGCTGCATTTGATCGTGATGACTGCATTTGATCGTGATGAATTAAATTTGATGAATTACAGCGCGATTCATTCATGGGTATGCTAACAAAAAATTGACAGATTCAACCATTTATGTATACTTTTCGTGTGCTTTAAAAAAAGCGTACTTTCCGTATTTGGTTAAAAGACGAAAAAAACCAGTATAAAAGAAATTGGGCATAAAAAATTGTATTTTCAATTTGATGTTTTTGTCTTGTATTATACTTTTACAAGAGTGGGTCCTAGGCAGGTCCGGGCCAAAATCAGTCCCGGTCCTTGCCGAAAACATTCGTTTCGTTCTCCATTTACAAAGCTCGGTACCGGGTCGAGCCCAAGTCAGTCCCAATTTTTCACCAATAATTAATTTTGAACGTATAAAAAATATCGTTTGAAGATTTTTTTTGGACAATATTTTATTGAAATACAACTTAAAATCTTTAATTGGGTTATTCAGATACACTTTAAATCTTTTTAAAAATATTTTTTTTACACAAAAATGTTATATTTGTTTCTATAATTATGATTTTTGAAATTTAGTATTAAAACGCTTTAAAAAAACTTAAAGAAGAATATGAAAACTTGATATGTATAATTTATAAAAAACTTACGTTTTTTAAAAACGGGCCTATATATTTGTGATCTCGAGCCGGGTCGGGTCGGAACTTGGATTTTCGTTAAAAACGTAATCGATCCCAGACCGTCGATCATAACCGGTTTTTTATTTTTTATCAATAAATGGGTTGGACCGGGTCCGTTTTGGTCTTCTCTACTTTTAGACTTTTAGTTGCATCAATAAATGGGCTTCTTCCAAATAATAGATGGCCCAAGTACAGCAGGCGAGGCCCAGATGCGATTATCAAAAATTCCCAATCAAGATGTACGAAATGAACCCCCGCATTTTTGTTATGGTATACTTTAGTCCCCAGAGAATTTTACTTTTTACAATTAACCACCTTTAAATTTATTTAATGATTTTCCACCCCCTAATGAATATTAAAATCTATGTCATTGTACCCAACTTTTGACCTAGTTTTTTTTTTATTAACATGGATATCAATCTCGCTATACGAGCCGACTAATTCCAAGACAACCATCTATTTTGCGGTAGCCTGAAGGCACGCATTTGAACCTCCGTGGCCATAGGGGGATTTTTATTTCTCATTGGATTTGAACCTGGAACCTCCATGCACTTTTCACATTTGGAGTCCAAGCTCAAACCAATCAGACACCACCCTTTGTGGTGTATATTATTAATGAAAACACATTTTTTATACAATTCAGACATATTTAGATTATCGATAAAAATAAAATTTGA